GATAATTACAAGGCGACTAAGTCACTGATACAAATAATCAATTTGATAATATAACTCCATCTTGGATCATCCCACTCTTCTCCATATCTATGGTCTCTATTCTTGCCCCTTGTCCAGGAAGCCACCACCACCATCTGTCTCTGGACTTGACAAGTCTAGAGTCTAGAGTCTAGTCTAGAGTCTAGAGTCTAGTCTATTTCCAAGTCTGTTGTCTTACTTCCACTCCTGCCCTCTCCAACCCCTTCTCCAGACACTTCCCAAAAAGATCTTACATACAACAAGTCACACAACATCACTCCCCTTAAAACTCCTCAATAACCGCTTAAGGGGGATGGGGTTTCTATTTGGGGTGATGAAAATATTTTAGAACAGATAGCAACGGTGGTTGTACAACATCACAAATGTACTAAATACCACTGAATTATTCACTTTAAAATGGTTCATGCCATGTGAATTTTATCCCGATTGAAAAAAAAAGAAAAAAACAAAACAAAACAAAACAAAAGCCAAAAACCTTTCAACAGGTTCCTGTTGCACACAGGATAAAATCCAAAGTCCTCAGCATGTCCCAGGAAGTCTGGCATAATCAGGCCCTAAGCCACATCTCAGTAGTCCCATTCCCAGCTACTGTCCACCCTCGCCCTCTGCACTCCACCCACACCGACTATCTTTCAATGGCTCCAAAACCCAAGTGCTTTCTCATGCATGGGCTTCACAAATGGGACTCCCCACCCAAATAGCCCCAATCATTCTCTGATTATTTCATCCTTTCTGCACCCTTTTACAGAAACTGGGTCTTTCCCAAGTTCTTATCAAGAGCCTCAACTACAGAATTATTTTGGGATTACTTAATAGCTTTTCTAGTAGACTGTAGGACAGGAACAGTGACCATTTTGTTCACTGCTGTATTCCCAGCACCTAACAAGAACTTGGCACAGTAGATACCTATTTGTTGGGCACAAGGAATATTAGTATGATTTCCTCCAAAAGTATTAAATCTTTACTAGAGAATGAGTACCAAGCAAGGTCACAATATTACATGAGATTTTAATTACCTATGCCATTATTCTTTTATTAGCTAAATGAGAAAAATCAGAAATTACTCAGGGCCAACTCAACGCAATAGAATACACCAACCAATGCACAGAAAACAATTCTTCTCACTTCTACAGTGTCTACTTTGTGCTTCTTGAGAGAATCAAGTCCCTAACACCCAAGAAAATTCCATTTAAAACCTTTCTCCTCATGCCACTGCCAATTACTGAGTAATGAGGAGAGAAACAGGGACAATTACTTTGCAGAAAGATGCAACTGAGGTGAGTAAAAGACCAGGATTCAGAAGGATGTCATGGAAAACTATTGGCTGCTCTCACATAGGTACGTACCACTTGCCAGAATCAAAGTGTATAGAGAACTACCAGGGAAAAAGGACCCTGAACCCAGCTACTTCTGAGCCATGAAGGAAAAAAGGGAAACAGAGGAGAAACACACATAAGAGCAGGTGTGATTGGTGTTTTGTTACTAAACAAACTGTTCTTTAGTGATTATAGGTGAGCAAGTGATTCATTTTTTCCAGTCTTGCACTTGTATTAACTAGAACCCTAATTTATCCATGAAATTGAAGTATGTCTTAATTACTTGCCTTCAAAGCTTAGGCCCATTTAAAATAAGCTTATTTCTTTTTCCATTGTCAGCTTGCCCAGAGCCGCCTAATCTACAGTTCTCCTGCCCAGCACTCACCACTTCTGATCATTTCGGAGAGCAGAGGCAAGCAAGTAGTCTTACAGGCAGCTTCCAGAGGGATCCATCTGTTCATAACTCTGTGCACTAGCCCACAAAACACCTCCCAGCCTTGTGTCCACTGCAAGGACAGGAGAACACCACGACCTGAACACATATATAGCCCGTGCCACAGGCTACTTTGCAATATTTAAATTCTTCTTTAGCCAAAGCTTTGGATCTTCCCAGGCCCTAGTCCACTGTCCCAGTAGTGATTTGCATGGCTGTCCATTTAAAGAGTATCCCCACGTGTGCTGCAATGCCTAAAAGTACTGTTCTCGGCCTTGTGAATTAGGGCACCTACAATTGCATTGTGTGACATTCTGGACATCTCACTTGGAGATAGCTAGAAAGCTTTTTCCTTGCTCCAACCTCTAACTCTCTGAGCATACTCAGTTGGGGACCCCCTGGAGAAAAGACAAAGCTGCCAATGCAGCCAACCCCATGAGACCAATATGGTAGCAACCAACAAGACCGCTCTCCAACAGGGGGAGGAACCTGAGTGGTCTCTGCACCTTCCTAACACTTTTTCCTAAGCACACTAAGTTTCTCTCTCATATCCTATCCTTAAGGTAACATGTGTGGCCATCCTGATGGCCCCAGCTTTGCTTCCAATGACATGGCTTCTTAATGTGCCCTATACTCAGGTTCTACTGAGTCTTGTTCCCTTCTCACAAAAGCGCTCTTATTCACATTGTTACCATTGTTGTTGTTACAGAATCACACATGCGTCTATAGGAGATGAACTGGAGGAGCCTGATAATACAAATAAACAGCATCCTTGTGCAGGAAAGCGAAGTGCCAGCAAAACCAAATCCTAATATCGCAGACATATGTCCCATAAACCAAAGTACACTCACGGGCGAGTCACGTGACCAATATGTTAGTATGGGCATTGAGATGGGGTCAGTAAGAACTGCTAGCAGAAAATAATAGGGAAGGTTAGTAAAAGAGGTGCCCAAGGACAGAATAACAGACACACTAGGAGAGGTCACCAAAATCCCAAATACATCAGACAAAGGGAAATCAATGCTGGAAAACCAGAGACGACGAGCAGGTGAGATTACAAATGCAGGTGCTTCTTCCCTGAGCGGAGCTAGTGAGATTTTTCCAGTGGAAGAAGCCAGAATGACAGAAGGAGAAAACCTCCTCAGATTTATACCATGTCCACGCTTTGAGGAACTGCAGAATGAATAGGAAAACAGAAATCTCTTCAAGTATTTTTTTTTACGAGGGAAATTTAATATACAAAATTGGTTACTCAGATGATGGTGGAGCAGAAAGCCTAACAGGATAGTGAGGTAATCCAACGATCGGCAAGAGCTGAAGCTGCTACCTCCCCAAGGCTGAAGAGACAATAGCAGGAGGTTATGTCTCTGGAGTCCATGGGCCAAGGTCACTTGTGAGCAACTAGAACCAGAGCCAGTCTGTCAAGCATGAGTGATGCTACAGGAAGAGGGATTCCCACTGCCAAGGATGCCACACGAAGCTCAAGGAAAGAAAAAAATACCCTGGCTTTGCTCTTCTCCCTTTCCTCTCTTCCCAGTGTCCCCCCTCCCACAGGCTGAACACAGCAAGCCAGCTGACTCAGAAATCTGGGAGAGCAGCCTGAAGGGGTGAGCCCCATCCAACACAGAGGAAGAGGGGTGGGCAAGGAAGGCTAGAAGAAAAGCAGAGAAACTCCGGTACAAGGAAGATGAGTTACAGTGAGATTTAATAAGCAAGCTTCTTTTGCAACAGACGTACTTTTAAAAGGTTTGCTTCGTGCCATATAAGGCGCCAGTAATCAAGTGGTCACCCAGTAATAAAGTAGGAGCTATACCGCGGCCTATTGACCTTCCTGCCATGTTAGGTGGCCCCTGATGTCACTCTGCGGAGTCCCAGAGTTAGAAGATTAGGGAATTTATTCTATATTATCCTTTTGTCAGTAAGAAGGAAGCCAGGACTAGTCCAAACAAGTTAATTTATTTTCAAAATTTTCGAATGAAAAAAAAAAACCCTCTTATATTTAAAAGTAAAAAATAGGGGATCCCTGGGTGGCGCAGCAGTTTGGCGCCTGCCTTTGGCCCAGGGCGCAATCCTGGAGACCCGGGATCGAATCCCACGTTGGGCTCCCGGTGCATGGAGCCTGCTTCTCCCTCTGCCTGTGTCTCTGCCTCTCTCTCTCTCTCTCTCTCTCTCTCTCTCTCTCTCTCTCTCTCTGTGACTATCATAAATAAAAAATAAATAAATAAATAAATAAATAAATATAAAAGTAAAAAATATCCTAAGCATTGAATAGAAAAAAAAAAACTTGTATACACATGTGCATGTTGCAAATGATACAAGTAAAATCAGGAAAATCTGAACAAGACTGATGGACTCTATCAACCAATATCCTAGTTATAATATTTTGCTATAGGTCTGGAAGATATTATCACCGGTGGGGGGGGATGGGTAGAGTGTACACAGAATCTCTCTGTGTTACTTCCCACAGTTCCGTCAGAATCTAGAATGATCTCCAAGTAAACAGTTTAATTAAAAAAATATTATGTGCATTATAGTCTCAATTAATAAGGCTGCTTCCCTTCCATTGTGTTTCACCCATAGTGTCTCCAGCTCCTTATGCTCACATGCCTAGTATTTCCACTGCCATGACTCTGTTCTGTTAAGCAAGGCCCAGTGATCTCTTTGCTGACCCATTCTACTTCTTATAATTCAGTCTTCTCCTTGTCATTGGCTCAATGCTACTTTTGCAGAAATACGATGGTGTCAGGTAGCTCTTGTTTGATTATTCAGCCTTTGCATTTCTGACTACAGGCAGAGCCAGAGTGTTAGAATTTATATATGGGACAATTAGAAGACTGCCTAATCTTATTTCATATCATCTAACAAGCTTTAACCTGTTCATTTCATGATTAAGCATTTAATTCAAAACAGCTCTCTTTACGGATTTATTCTTTCCTCCTCTCACCCTCTGTACCCTTTGATCTCCTTTGGGAGCTGGTGGCCTAAGAACCAGCAGGAGAAACTGCAAAGAAAAGCCTGGCATTTTGACAGAGCAAGAGAAAAGAACCAGCCCCACCCCCAGCTACCACTCATTCACTTAGCTAAACTACAGGCTATCAGAGAAGCCAGGGAAACAATAGACATAAGTACATGCTAGGTCTTCCAGAAACCGATGGTGGATGAAAATCACCTCTTAGTGAAGAGTATGGGGGAAAATCACTATTCATCGCAAAATGGACATGCGTCACAGGCATCTCTGTAACTCTCCTGGCTCTGTAAGTCCACAAATCCTTCCTGTAAAATATAACTTTCTTCCTTTAATGATCTAGTAGTGAATTATTTATATTCTCCAATTTATCTTCCTGTCTTCTTTTATTTATTCCCAGACTTGTGCTACTTTACCTCTAGAAAGCCTGACTAAGGTTACAGGCAAGGCACAGGAGTCTCTGTCCTTCAAGGGTGCTGAGCCTAACGCAAGGAGCAGGACCATGGTGCACAGCAGAGCAATGAAATCTCATTTCTGGAAAGGCAGCCAGCTAAGTGACCACACACTACAGGCCTCCGTGTTGTGCTGACTTTCCAGACAGCTTTCCATCAAGATCCATCTTGCATCCCCACAGTTGCTACCTTCACTTTGGTAGGCATCAGTGCTTGCCCGGGCAATGCCACCCCCTCTCTGCTCTCCGTGCTCCTGACTCTTCCTCCATCAATCCACTCACCACACACCTGCCAGCATGACCTTCCCAAGATGAAAATCAAAAATGACAATGCCTACATCTCAATCCTTCAGTAGCCCTCTATCGTGATGACCAGGTGGAGACCAGATCTCCAAATATGCCTCATTATAAAAACCACTGGGAGCATTAATAAAAAATAAAATTAAATAAAATAGATTCTTCTGTGTCTTACGTTGGTTTCCTCCAGATAGACCTTCAGACATCATTTAAGTGTAAATTATTTATTTAGAAGGGGGTCCGAGGAAGCACTGGTAGAGGAGAGACAGCCTACAAAGCACAGGTATCTAGCAGATTGATGTTATGGGTAACTGAGGCTCCATTTCACCAGGGAATTTGGGGACATAGCGTAGAACATGTGTCAGCCAGTGCACTGGAGAGTCCAAGATGCTAGTGTATTACCTCCAGCTCCCTTCTATCATTGGCTGAGGTCCACTCATGAGGCCATTAACTGCCTTACCAAACTGCCCTACATGTGGGAGAGAAAGCCTTCAGGCAGCAAACAGGACGTACTTGCAGAAGAATTCTGTAGACATATACTGGACAGTGGGCCATTGAGCAAATATGTATATGCATATGTATAAAACTGACCAAGTCTGCTCCCAAAGGCCATGTCCCTGAAGACAGTGGTCTGGAGTGGGAACCAGGAAATTAGCAGCATAGCAAGCATTTCATGGGATCATGCTGAGGCATGTTGCGAAACACTGACTAATACCATTAATCTCAAAAGCTTTTCTGGGTTCTACTAGGTCCTCCACTGTCTGCTGTTCTGTTCTCCAGACCTACTAACTCTTCTGCAGAGTCACCCTTAAATCAAAGTTGTACACTTCCCCGCAAGTGGCATATTCTCTTCCATGAGCAGGAACTGTGCCTTAAGAATCTTTGCCATCCCCAGGGCCAAATACTGTACCAGTCATATAGAAAATGCTCAATAAATAATGTATTGTTAAAGAAATAATCCTCAAAGAAAATAGGGTGATATTATTTAAGTGTTCCCTGGACATAACTACCTACTCCATGTATCAATATAATAGGTACAATCTACTAGTGAAATTAAACAAATATATTTGAGTACCTAATGTATGCAAGACATTCAAAAATCTTTCCAGGAAAGTATACACCTTAACGCCTTTTTTGCCCCCATAAGGGAGTCCTTTAATAGAGATGGGCAAACAGGGTTGGGACATGATTCAGTCCTGGGCCAAGAAATGTGGTAGCTCCCTGTCCCCAGCCAGGTGTCGTCGCCCCAGGTTGGATATGGGAGAGGCATTTAAAAAAAAAAAAAAAACATGGCAGGACTAACTCTTCACTTTCACAGAAAAAGAGAACACAGGGAAGCAGTCTGCTGGAGCTCTGCTGATATGAAACTATTAATTAAGCTCTACAAAGGAGATAAACAGCTAGGTAGTGGTGGAAAGGTGAAGGATGTTTAAGACTAATTGGAAGCATGTTAAACTTTACCTTCCTTGTGATTCTTCCAGGGTTGTCCCTAGAGACACTATCACTCCACCTACTTCACAAAGATGGAGCAGGATGAAGAAGAAAGTCTTATTTCGATGCCATTGAACTCTTGGGATTTCTGACTTCTTCCAGTAATCAAAAATTTGGTACCTGGGATCTAGGTGGTAACTCTGGGCCCTACCCCTTAACTGCAGAAGATTTGCTGTGGTTTTTATGCTACTAAAGGTACTCTCTTACAAACGAGGCCAAAGCAGAGGTCTAGCCACTCATAGTCACTAAAGACCTCATCCATGACTTTTTTTCCCACCGTTTGGGATGTTAACCACAGCCACTTGGCCACATTCCAGTCTGGATAATTACGTTGGGGCTAGCAAACTTCACCCTCCAGCTCCAACTAAATAAAGTATTCCTTTGGACTAGCTGCCATAACCTTTGTTCTGCTGCTGTGGGCTATTAAAGAGCTATTCTGTACTTAGGATGGCTGTATTTGTGAAAAATCAATACCCCTGGTATAACTTCCTGCGCTGACAAGAAGTATATTCCACAATATCTCACTGGCTAAGTTATTTTTTTTAATATAGTGCCAGAAACAATTAGAAAACTATAGTAATTTCTTCTCCCTCTTCTCAACATTTACTATTCATACAGATACAGATTGAAATGTTTGCAGCATTATATAAAGGAGGAGGGCAGGTGCATATTCCACAAAATACACACTGAATGTCTGACGCCACATGCCAGGCTCTATTGTAGGTACTGTGTATTGTTGTAAGGGCCGTGGGCTATGTTCTCAGCGTCATTGGGGAATTTTCCAAAGGGAATAATTCAATTTAATTCTTCCTATGCTACTGCATTTCTGAACATCTGAATCTACTTTATGTAATATATCAGCATTACCATGCACAGAGCTCCCAATAAAACCCTATTTTTGTCCACTTTTAAAAGGACCTACAGGACTGGGGCACCACGGTGTCCACCCTTGATTTTGGCTCAGATCATCATCTCAGGGTCATGAGATTGAGCCAGGGATTGGCTCCATACTGGGCACAGAACCTGTTTGGGATTCTCTCCCCTCTTCTGATTCTCCCACCACTCCCAATCACTCACTCTTGCTCTCCCTCAAAAAAAAAAAAAAAAAAGGTCTACAGGACCTTAAACTCAATGTGTATGTAGGTGTATGTGGAAGGATAGGTCTGTCTAAGAATGGGAAAATATGCTTTCTTGGCTAGCTTGGCGGGGAACAAATGGGATGCTGCTTATTTATTTGCTTGGTTTTTTAGATATCATCCTACTTGTGAAGGTGAGAGTTTACAGGTTATAATAGCAGAAGCAAACGTGGGGAAATTGAAAACATAGTATCTCTTACTAAAAGGTTCTCTTTACTAAATGAAAAAAGCATAAATCCAGTCTTTTAGTGTTCTATTACAAGGATGAAAACAACAAAAGGGGAAAAAAGTATTGTGTATTTGCACATTCACATACACACATATTACCTTATACATGAAGATAGGACAGGGAAGTTAAATATCAAAATACCAGTGGGTTAAATTAAATGGATGAACAATAGAATATTTCACATTATACCTTCCAAAGAGAAATGGTTCAGAAAAATTTTTTTAAAATAGTAACAACCTTAAAATTCAGATTAATCCTAGAGGATCCAAAGCAAGTACTTTCTCTGGACAAACTATAACAATACTGTGGAAAATGGTTTAAAAAATCAGTGAAGTTCACTTGAAATCTGCCAAATTATTATTCTGCTTGGAAATCCTCCTAGCTAGAACAAGTTAATAGCAGGCTTCTAAAACTAGGTTAAACATGCTGTAAATCAATTTATTCCCCCCTACAAATCTGTTAAAGTGTATGCTTTTCTGGTGAAAATGGTTCTTCAATGGTACTTAATACTGTCACTTTATTGTTTCCCCAACCAGTCCACTTCAACTTTTTCTAAGTTGTTACATTAAAGTTAAATGCCTATCTTTGACATAAATAATAAACAATGAAATCCACATTGCTTAAAATACCATAGGGAACCTCAAAAATGTATCACACAGGCAATATATTTCCTAAGTATAGAATAAATGTTTAATAACGCATATGTGATCCAAGTTTGCCACCCAATAATTTATTCAGTATCATTTCACCGAGTTAAGAAACAATCAGCACTATTACCATCTCTCACAGAGAGATGACTAGTCTTCCACCAACATGCTTCAGGTAGCACCTTTGGCAAGACGGCTTTGATAAAACACTGAAATGAATATTATGCAGAGACACAGTCTGTCCCATGTACTTCAAAGAGTCCAAATGACTACACCCACAGCACGTCTACCACACTGCAGACAGAAGACTGGAACGGGCGATAAATAAGCTTTAATGTTTAAACTCTTGCTGGTATACAAGCTGACCAACACAATCTTCAATCTCACCCCTGTTTAAAATTCATAGAGAAAAAAAATAAAATTCATAGAGAATAATAGATCATTAAAGATTGTTGAAAGGTGTAAATAATTTCCAAAGCAAGGGACAGCGCTTCTGGAGCAGAAGGTGGGAGTCACAGGACTCTATAGATTGAAGACAAAATACATGAAATACAATGCCCCTAACACCATAATCCACCCTGGTGTCAATACCAAATCTTTACTCCCAAATCTTACTGTATATTCTAAGTATCTTTACTAGCACAAAAATATATTTTATGAATTTTATGTAACTAAAGAACAAGAAAAATTCCAGGGAGGAAATGGGGAAAAAATTCCTAAGTGTGACCCAAAGGAAGAGATTCTGGAGATGGCTCAGCCACCAGGGTCAAGCCACATCACCTCACTGTGCCTGAGTGTCCCATAAAAATAAAGAGTTAGGCCAGAACATGAATCTCTAATTCCCTGCTAGCAGTAAAAATCCAGCTATCTATTTAGGTATCATAGAGAACTTGAGTTCTTGTAAAATCCTAAGAGCACCTGACCGCAGCAGAAAAAGTGCTTACGGTGTTTAATGACTACAAAGGGAAGAATGAGGAGGGTCTAAACAATCCTCCCAATCTTGCATTTTTCAGTTTATACTAGGCTTAAGAGGGCAATTGAAATTAGATGCTTCATTTCATCCCACAATAACAATATAATTCTTATGACAATAAAAATCTTAAATACTCTTTTTTAAAGCATCCCAAAAAAGAAACAGCTTCACCTAACTCAAGTGAAACTTAGATCTGTCTCACTTGGAGGGTTTCAATGCTTGAGCTACAGTATGGGTATCAGGATGTGGAAGCAGCTGTCACCGCTTTGTTTTTCATTCACAGTAGGTGGTTGCCAAGCAACAAAATACTATTGTCTGTTTCCATGATCTATTGGCCAATTCTACTGGTGATAATGCTTTCTACAGTTTAAAACAGGGCCACCTTTTGGACGAGAAGAAATGAGAAAAAATTTTCAGAATGACAGTAACATATAGATAAATAAATACACTGAATGTACCCCCAAAATCATGTGTATACATATATAGCTGTGTGTGGATCCACATACATATATTTTGCATATATGCATATGTTATGTGTGACTATATACAGTCTTATTCTCCCTAGCTCAAAACCCATCTAAATTTGAAAGGCTAAGAACTAGAATCTAAATCCCTTGAAGGTAAATCAAGGCATGACCTAGGGATATGAAAACATAGGAGGAATTATTTTTCAACAATAGCAATAATTTCCAATTTACCAGATGTATCAAATCTGTCCCTTGAATAGAAAGTCCCACAGTCAGAGAGCAATTCTACCACTATTAAAAAATAATAATAAATGTAAAGACTTTACTATCTAACTACTTCAGAGTCACCTAACATATTTAACATGCTATATGACTTACCATGTGCTACCACTGTGTACAAAGATAATAATTGAAATGGGAAAATTCTGTTGTTGTTTACACCCAAGAATCTTAAAATACATTCATTTAAAAAAAAAATAATTGAATTGTTCTCCCTGGAATAGCCTCCTGTGATTCCCACTTTGTTTCGATAGGGTCCCTGAGGAATAACAGTCATGCTATGTTGCTCTTGCATATTTCACTAGCTTGCAAATAAAATAACACACAGTGTACTCAATATAAAGTCGTCAACATTAACTTGCATCAGTTGCTGTTTGTTTTGCATTGACAAGGCTTCTAAAGATAAGAATTACAATATTCTTAGATGTACAGACACAACATCAAAACAGCCTGAAGGAATTAAAGCTTGAAAATGCTAGAGGCAATCACGTTTCGAAATGAAGAGAAATCAGTATCATTTATGCATACATATATATTTCTGCAAAGGACCTAAATAACGCCAGAACAATCTTTGGATTTTATGCAATGCTCATCCGTCTTCTTTCACAATATTTCAAAAGCACTTTGCCTTAACTATTTAGCGCATCCCTCTAAAGGAACTCTCAAAATTCGCTTTTTGAAATTCATTGCCACTTGCAAATCTATATATCACAGCACACCGGAATAAGCAAAAACCCCGTTACATGGGTTGACATTATTACACTATTATTATAAAGTCTCGTATCAAAAGGACAGCGCCAGCAAAACAGAAACAAAGTGTGCTGGTAGGAACGAGAAACATCCTCCAAAACTAGCCCTTTCTGGGACAAAGCCTCCTTCTTCAGCAGGACCCGCCCACCTCCCCGGGAGCGCCCATCTGGGTCTCTCCATCACGTTCCGCCCCACAAGTGGCCCACCTGTGTCCTTCCTTCTCACGGGGAAACAATGTCCTCTCCACTTTCTCCATCATCATCTTCAGGTCTCAGCCACCCATGACTTTCTCTGAACTACTGAACTCAAGTCTGCAGCCCGGTTCGCCACGGATCTCCCCATAGGCGATTGCTTCCCTCCTTCTTTAGAGACGCTTTAAAAATCTCTACCCCCCCCCCAGCAAATAAATGCAATATTAATAAAAGGATTACAAGAGCAAGTTTTTTTGTTTTTGTTTTTGTTTTGTTTTGTTTTTTTTTTTACTTACAGCAGTAAAAATGTTGAGAGACAGAAAAGGAGGAGAAAAGCAGGAGCGTGTCTGGAGGAAGGAGGGCGGGTGAGCGGCTGCACAGGGCGGGCCGCGGGGACCCTGCAGCCCGGGGCTCCCCCACCTGCCGACCCCGCTTCCCCCATGTGCGCGCCGCGGGACGACAACCACAACACTCCAGAACCACCCCCTCCGGGAAGGAGGCGGGGTCATGCCTCTGCCTCCAGCCAATCGGCATCCGCGAACTCGGGGTGTCCAACCTATGGGGTGGCGGTGGCCGTGCAGGGGGAGGGCGTGGGGTGGGCCGGGAGGGGCCGCGTCCGTGGGAGGCGCGCACGTGTCGAGTCCGGGGAGGCGCGGAGGCAGGGCTGCGGGGCGGCGGGGCGGCGGGGCGCCGGGGCGCCGGGGCGGCGGGCGGCGGGGCGGCGGCAGGCGTCCAGCCCCCGAGGCGCGGGCTCTGCACCCTGGCAGCCGGCGAGTCCAGCTGCCCGATGCCTCCCCAGCCTGGGGCTCGCCGGGCCAGGGCGAGCCGCCGCCGGGGAAGACACGTCCGAGGGGTCTGGGCTCCCCGTGCAAGGGGACGGTCACAAATAACAACAACCGTTTACCTGGCGCAGGGCAGAAGGGGAGGAAAGTTTCCGGCCCGCACCCCAGCGGAGTGCCCCAAGACAGGACGAGGGATGCAGGGCGGGAGGGTGACAACCTGGAGAGAAGGGCGCATCGGGAGGGCTGCGCGAGCGGGACGCCGTCCCGGGTGCGGAGCAGGGGGCGGCGGGAGGCCGGGTGCGCTGTCCAAGGTGCAGGGGAGGCGCGGAGCCCCGAGCCAAACAGCGGCTGGCGGCGGCGGGGAGAGCGGGGAACAGCAGTCCGGGGCGCCGGGCACCCCCCCCCCCCGCCACCCCCAGGCTTGTAAAAGTGACAGGGCTGGGGCTGGGATGGAGCGAGGAAGGGCCCCCCCCCCACGCTTCCACGCGCCCCTCCGCACCGGCTCCCCTCTGGCTCCCTCCCCTCCCCCTCCCCGGAGCCCACTCCCCTGCAAGCCTCTGTCCCGGGGCCGTGGCGGGGGCGGGGCCGGGGAACCCCCGGCTCCAAGCGCGGACGCCCCAGGGATGCTGCGGGCTCCGGAGCCGCCTGCTTACCGGGAGCCGCTGCACCGGGGAGCGGGGGAGCCCGCCGCGCGGAGCCGGGAGAGCCGGGCGCCGGGCGCTGGGCGCGGCGCGGCTCCTCCTGGCCTCGGCGTCCTCCTCCTCCGCCTCTCCCGGACTCCGTCCCGGGCGCGGAGCTGCAGGACGCGGCCGGGCTGCAGCTGCGGGTCCCTCCGCCGCCTCGGCCGCCGCCGCCGCAGACAGAGGACGCCCCGTGGCGACTGGAAGCCTGTGTGAGTCGCGGCGCCCGAGAGAGCGGGATCTGCTGGGGACTCCGCGGCTCGGGGCGCGCGGGCGTGCGCACGCGCGCCTGCGAGGGTGAGTGTGTGTGAGTGTGCGCGCGCGCGCCCCCGGGGTGGGGGGAGCCGCGAGGGGAGGGGGGCGAGGCCGAGGGATGCTCGTAGGGACCGGGGCAAAATTCTTCGCTTCCGGAAAGCCGTAGAGCCGGAGCAGGAGGCTCGAACACGCGTCCGGCCGCGGGGAGCTCCCCGCGGGGCGGCGGCAGAGCGGGGGAGGGAAGGCGGCACCGAGCGCGGGCTCCGGATCCGAGCGGGTCGGAGCGCGCGGCCACGGATGCAGCAGAGGCGGTGCCCGCAGCCCCCGGTCGCGCTGCCCCCTGCAGGGAGGGGCCGGGCCGCTCGCTCCCGCCGCCGCCGCCGCCGCCGCCGCCGCTGTCCAGACTTCCCGGCTGAGCGCCGGCGGCCGGAATCGGGGCTCCACGGGGTTGCCCCTGCAACCTCGGGGTCTCTCGGCCGGCCGAGGCGCGGAGCGGAGGCCCCGGGCGCACGTGGCCGACCGCCGGCTGGAGTCGGCGTGTGCAAGCGCCGCGGGAGCGCAGGGGGCGGCGCGGCCCACCGCCTCGCCGTGCAGGGGTGCGGGGCGGGGAGCAAGGGTGAGCTGAGCGTGCACGGTCCCGCGGAAGGGAAGGCGCTTCTCACTCCCCTTTTCCTCCGCGGAGGCCACTTTTCCTCAAAGTTAATCCACTTCCCAGGTAAAAGTGCGGGTCTCCTCTTTGTCCGGATTCAGCTCACTGTGCAGGCGGGCAGCGCAGAGCAGTGCCTCTTGGAAGTCAGGCTCCTCCGCCAGGACGCGGCCCCCGGCGGCCACCCTGGGGCGGCTCTGGGCCGGTGAAACCCCCACACTCCTTGGTGCATCCAGGCTACACTGTGTACACCTTAGAAATAAACATGTTAAACACATTCACACGCCCTGCCTCCTAAAAGACATCCGGCCCTAGCAGGCAGTATTCTTTCCCATGTTGATTTCAAATTACGAGTGCAGATTTTTATTCACCCAAGAATTTCTTGAAGGATCATAAGGTCTGAGTAAGACTTGAAAAAACCCTTTCTGGCAAAATTCTTTAGAGCAGGGATTATGTTTTGCAGACCTTTGCATACCCTCCAGTACTTAGCACAGTACCGCGGACCACACCGTTGTGTGTTTTCTATAAACGTTGAATGAATGACATTTGTTTCCTAGAGTCACATATCCTGAAGGCAAAGACTTGGATGCTGGGAAAGTCATTACCACCCCACTAGGCTTGCTTGATTTTAACTTGCACCATTTCCCTGTGTGTGGCTATTTCCCCTCTGGCCGCCAGAGTCCCGGCATAAAAAAAAGACACAGGGAATACTGACCCATTGTGCAGCCTTACTGAAGGGTGCCAGAAGGGAACACTCTGCAAGGAGTGCAGCGTGGGATATCCTGGGTGTAAGAAAGCTAAAGCATGACTTATTTCAGTCCTGGGTGAGTCTGATCTCCTAAAATGTGAGTCTGTTCATTAGCAATTTATAATGTCCATTTTAGAAAAAAAAAAAAAGGACAGGAAAAAAAAGTTTTCAGAGAAATGCATGTTTCTACTAACTTATCAGTTACAAGCTTTTCTCTTGTAAAGAGATTTACCTCATGGACACTGGCCAATGTATGCAGGGTCACCCCAGACTGCTATTTCTACTGCAGCACCAAGCCCACATCCTTCAACCTTGGTATTTCTACAATCATCATCTTAGAAGTAAAAGTCTTCAATTTTAAATTCCATGCTAAATTTCAATTCCTTGGACTCAGGATCTTCCATGAGCTGCCTCTCTCTTCACTCATGACATCACAGCTTTGAAATATAACTGAAAGAAAGTGAAAATTAAAGTGGATTTATTTTGGTGCTGTGAGTGTGTTCTCTAGTGGGGGTCCCTTTAAATGACTTCTCTTCTGTCCCTCAATTTACAGTCTTCTTAGGAGCCATTTATTGTGATCCAGAATTAATGCGGTTTTTTGTTATGTTGAACCCCTACATATTTAAACTTTTTACTGAAAGGAAGCTTTAGAACTTGCAGGAGGAATAGAAAACTCTGACACCCCCAAATGGACTCTTGACAGCCAACATTTAAAATAGATTTGAGTCAAAATCTTCCAAAATGATTTTAAAGCTTTGTTTTCCTTAGAAAGTTGCTTTTAGGCTTCCCAAATGCTTGTCTTACTGACTGGGATGAAGAATGTAACAAAGTTTTAATTTCTGTGATGACCACCAAAGGGGGCAGTCTTGTCTTTGTAAAAATAAATACATTTATAAGAAGCCAATATTTAAAAATAAGAATATAGGCTTAATAAGAATGTAGGTTTATAGCAATCTTAATTTATGTTAGCTTAAAAGATAAACATAGAAAGGATAAAACAATGTTAGATATATAGTGTTTATGACCCACTTAAAGATAAAAGTGTAGAGGAACAGCTAGAATTAAAATGCTATAAACCATTGGTCCTCAAGCTACTTAAACATTAAATAAATAATAAAATGTGCTACTAAGAGATTCACTGTCACGTGTTATTATAGTTGGACTGAGAATGGCATAATCATAAAGGTCCTTTTTTTTTCTTCCTAAAAAGGCCTTGACCCTTAACCTAACTACTTTTTTTTTTCAATTTGCAGCAGTGCAATAAACTAGTCAAACATTAACTTTCTTAAAAACAGGGTATTGGGGAAAGGTGGGGTATGTAGAGAAACACTTTAACCTGATTTAACTAACTAATCTGTCAGTCTAAGTAAAAAAAGCAAAAAGCAAGTGCTTTCTTTCTACCTCTGAACTGGCAAATTTAGACTTTGGTGAGAGGTACCATGAATTCCAAAGTCAACTCCTCATGCTGGGAGCAGCTTGCCCCAAAATCTTTGAAGTGAGGAGGCAGGAACCGTTAGATGAATGCTGCTGTTTATTTTTCGTGGTTGTGAGCATGCATAAGGAGACAGGTAATTTCTCCATAATTAGGTCCCAGATCACTTACTCCATTAGAGTTTTATATGATAAAAAACCTTGACCTGCACCTGGACACAAAGTGCCAGCTCAGTATAGAGTATAGCATGGGAACCAAGAGATGGCTCACACTATCCTGTTTGCGTCCATGCTTTTATACATTGCTTTATTCCAGGTATTACTTAAGGCAGCTTAATTCTGATCAGGCATCTTTAGGAAAGTCAAAAATCAGAGAAAAAAAGCAAAGTAGGTAGGTTTTTGTCATCATTAGTGCTGATATTGAGGGTGAGGGTGAATATATGAAATACCGCTGGTTTTTAATAGTTTATGATAGAGTTAGGAATTTCAAAACAAGCTGTGTATGCTCTCCTCAAGAAAGTGAACATATGAAGATATAAAAAAATATTTGCATAAAATTTCAGGAGTTAAGGGAATCCCCTCCGAAGCTGCAGCTAAGAACCTCTGTCTAATATGCATCCTTTGCACATTGACATTTATAGCTACAACAGAGAGATGAATTAGTAGGTATACTAATATCCTCATTTCTATTTTTAACCTGGTAATTTATTCGATTGTCAACACTAGAAATATGCCTAAGCAAATAGTAAGCCAAACAAGTATTTATTGAGTACCTACTTTATAATCAATTCTTGTTCTCATGCTGTGGTTGTTACCAATAAAGTATAACATGCAATCTATCTCTGCTCTTAAAGAGCCTACAGTCTAGCTATCACTAGTCTTAGGAACAAAAAAGTAAGCATAAGCAGAATTTAGGACTTGACCAGGTACAACAAACCTCAATTTGAATTACCAAAACAACTAACCAAGCCATTTAGTAAATAAACCATATTGAAAACTGAGTTTTAGTGGCCAATGTCTATATGCATATTTTCATATTAATATTCCCTAGTAGTAATCACTTAGATATTGCATGATGTATAATGTAAAAAGCTAGTTTATTGCTGCACTCTGAATTTCAGATTGCAGATAAGAAAATTACTGACAAGAAAAAATGGACTATGTTGGCAATGGTAGCTATGGATTACCTATCACAGGATCCCTGGGCAAAGTGGAATTGATCAGAATACACTAGAGTTCATATTTCCATTCATCAAAGAATTAGTAGGGGCACCCATCTTTTATATAATACTTTATTATAAATTAAAAATCTAAAATAAATATTACAATATTATTTAACATAGTATATTAATATAATATTTTATTAAGTACTCTTCTTAAAATTTCTTGATCCCAGAACCCTGGGATTGTGACCTGAGCTGAAGACAGATGTTTAACCAACTAAGCTACCCAGGCACCCTGGTTAATATAACTTTTAAAAATATAACCGCTTCACTCTATTTATAACAAAATTATGAAGAGTAGAAAAGCAACAACCCAAGGAAACTAGAAGTTCTCAATGGTTAAGGCAGTATTACCATGAATCTCCCCTCCCACTCATATATCTCCCGCTCCCACAGATATAAAGCCAGTCACAAAATTAGAGCTTTTGAAAGCCCAACCATGCATGTATTGAACACTTTACATAGCCTGCCTCCTCAAGACCCCTAGACGCTTCATGTGGGGAAACCAAGACTGTCAGTCATATCTTTCTACTTTTCCAGAGGCTCGGTGTCATATAAAAATAGTACTGGGCACCAAGTCATGAGATGTAAGTTCAATCTTAGCATGGCCAGCAACTTATTGTGAAATTTGGGGCAACTCACCTTCTGAGCATCAGGTGGCCCTTCTGTGTAGTGTAGAGATTAATAACTGCCTCATTGGTTGAGACGATTACATGAAATAATATGAGAAAGCTTCCCTCACATTGTAGGAGCTAAGTAACTCTGTGCAATCTTGGATCTAAATAATAAAAAAAACATATATGTGGCAGAAAATTGGAACACGTACATGAATGGGAGGCTCCCGCAGAAATTCTGGAAGCTTTTGTTAGATTATAACTTAAATAATGTTGAACCAATTTGATGATTCCTGGGAGTCCCTTCCAAAGATATTTTAGGAAAACCACAGACAACCAAAAGTTGGCAGAAACAGACACATACAGGAAATTGTGGGTTCCATAATTCTAGAGGTGCTGTAATTCTATAAATTCTACTGCTATTGCAAAACCCAAGCTTTTGTGTTCATTTGTTTTTAATTAGTCTCTGTTTTTTCTGTCACACAGTTTCTGCCTCCCTGGTGCTGCTTTGCCCTGCTAATTTAGCTATGTGAACATTTATTTTACAGATTAATACCAATGGTATTAAACAAGAATTATTCACTGTTTTCTCCCCCTTAATTGTTAAAGCAGTGTGCATGCTCACTAGGAGAAAAAAAAAGGCAATACAGAAATGTATAAAGAAGAGAAAAGTTGATGTAACATCACCTCTCATGCACTAACCATCATTACTATTTTAGTATATACCCTTCCAAACATTTTATTTGCATAGCTTTATTCTTTTAAAAGTCATTCGAGTCAATGTTCAGCCATTTAAATGCATACTAGCATTTTAGTGTAAAAACAGTTAAACAGTTTGACAGAAAGTTTCAAATGTGGAGTCTTTTTTCTCTTTCATGCTCTTTCTTTCCAAGATGGGCTCTTTGCTTAGCACATCCTTTAAACAGGATTTTAACTAGTCATCTTTGGAAACTTCCCTTCCAATTTCCCCACTTTTACCACTTCTAGAAATGAGTACTTTTTAATGACCCTTTAAAAACTTAATCTCACCTTGAGCTGACGTGATCTGGAGTCACAAGCCCTGCTCCTTGGCCTCTAGCCATTCTGTGGGTGCTTTGCATTACTTAGCCTCCACCCCCAAGATGAGGTCCAGTACTGACCTTGGATCTGGTATTGCATTCCCTGATGGAGCAAAAAAGATTCTTGATTCCAAT